GAGTTTTATTCCTTATGTTTTTGTCTAGAAATGGGCTTTCATGAAGCGCTTCAAAAACATAAACGGCGTTATTTCTTCTCTCATTGCTTAGCTTCTCCCTGCAGGCAATACGGTCAAATAAAAATGCTGTCCGAACTATAAAAAGCAGAACATCCTTAAAATTAATGGTTTTTAATGAACGTGGAATTACTTTTTACCAGAGAAAGCGGCGAAAAGCGCTTAATTTCTGAATTCAGGGAGACCATATACAAAAAAGGATAAGAATCGGCGCATTATGTGCCTAAAGGAGCCTGGTGCGCAGTGCCACTAAAATGATCGACCGAGAGCGCATCAGCTTCATATATCTCATTCAAAAAGATACATAACTTTTAGGGCGGAAGTGGTTATGCAGCCGCACCTGAGGTAAGTAAACTGCAGTCACCTGTAACACGGGACCGGTGGTAATAGAGGCCAGGAAGCGCACAGGCAACGAGGTAAAGTAATTGTATGCGAAAGAAAAGGTATTGGGAATGCGCCGTTGTACTTTGGGTGGTTGAAAAATATTTGCCCTGACTCCTAACCATAATCCCCAACCCTATCCCATAACTCTAACCCCTAACCCTTTATCGCAGTCTTAAACCCTGACCCCGAATTATCCACCGCGAAAGTTAGAGGGAGGTGGCATGGCCGAAAGTCGAGGAGGACCACCAGCATTGGGCCGAAAAAGGTAGACAAGGCAACAAAGAAGCAGGGCCGCCAACGGAACACACGCCGCAACGCACAGCTACACCATGCCAATGTAATTACCCCAACGCAAAATAATTAAATAGGTTAGCAGTATTGTGTTCATCAGGTACGGCTACATAACCACACCCTACCAAATTTTCCCATGTCATCTCCTATCTTCCTCATAAATCCCAATAAAGAGGTTTGGACATGGTCTGGCAGAGCTTGTCCATGCAGCTAGGCAAGCAAGTTAAATAGTTATGATAATTTCGAGGCAGATAATCTGCCAGAACTCCCTTTAACATAATAATATGCATGACCTGAAATGTCTGTTATGTAAAACAATCACTTGCAGTTATCTACTTGTTTACCGCATGCTTCAATTCGGTTACTCATAGAGTGGCCATGAGAGGTTATACTTAATTTGTTGAGACAGGACTCCACGGAGTATCGCATTTAATGTTGAAATTGGATGAATACATTTCAGTATCTTAATCAAGCACAGTAAAATGAATTGTCAAATAATACGCGTGCCCGGTTGAACGAAATTTGTTTCTACTGAAGATTGTAAGATATTCTTCTCTAAAGGCTGCTACCTGAATTGAACGAGAGAAGTTGTTTTTGCCGAGATTTGCCTCGTGATTTCGGTAGGGTCGTCTGGAATGCTTCAATCAACAACCTCGTTTTTTTACTCATTTCGGTAGGTTGTTATTCTGACTTTTGGCAGATTACACGAAGCTGTTTTTGTCAAGCCATCATGCGTTCCCGCCCTAGATGCAAAATGATCTATAACCTTGTTTGATTATAATCTAGGTGCAAATTCATTATTCGTTATCCCGAAATGTCTTACTCTTCTGCACGTTTTCGTTAATAAGACCGAGAACACTCATTTAACTTGGCTCTGGCCGTGTAGAATGGAACGTTCACCATGAGAGTTCCATTAACGCCCTACTTAATGGCACTCAATTAGTGCTCAGAACTTCAGGGGTTTGCATAATTCTCGAAACTATTACGACGTCAATGGATTTATGTCCGTTAATAAAGCATTTATCCGAACTAATTCGCAAAGTATCTTTCGCAGAGCTTACAGGTTAAGTTGGTAGTCAGTTGTCGTTTCAGCTTATCTGAATAATTAGGTCGAACATCAAATATCCTTTGAGTTTCCTTCCAGGACAGAATGCCACATTTCCTTACAAACCGTTATAAAGACGGTCAAAGGTTTTACAGTCTGCTAGCAGATAACTTTGAAATACAAAATGTTTTTGACAAAAAGCCCGATAACATGACGTATGGGTCTGCGATATCGATGCTATTGTTCACTATAATGCCCTCCAAGCAGACGACTTAAAAGGCGTGTTATGGCAAATTAGCGTCGACTAATACGGCCATGCCTATATGGGGCAAGAGTATGGTTACTTAAACGGAGTCTGTATAGTTTATTAAAGATGATTGTTCCGACTGATTTAACATAGTAGTAACGCGAATATAGGTAAACATTCAAGACACTGTTTTGTCAAAGTTGTGCTGTTGAATGGGGCATCTGTGAGAAAGTCGGATCAGCAGTGAGTCCACCAATGAAAAGGTCTGCGGGTAGGATTGTTTTTAAGGAAATTAAAAAGCCTGCCAACACGTATTCCCGTTCGAGATTTGATCAAAAGCAAGTTTAAAACTCCACTCTTATGTGTTCTTTTGTAGGTATGTCTCTCATTTTTGATGTACAACCTTTTATGACCTTTTGGACAGTGTGCCAACGCACGTTACTTTCAATAAGCATACGTGTCTTAGAAAAAATGCACACATTAGCAAGGATTTTTTTCTACCGAAATTCGTTTGCTGCATACTACTCGTGTACTTCTCTTCAGCCTATATCGGCTGTTAAAAATGTGGAAGGCAGTCACTCATGGGTGTTACCGCATCCATGGGAAAGATTCGAGGTACAAGAGCATGCATACAACTGAACGCAACTCCCCCAGATTTATGCGTTTAAGTATATGTAGACTGACGTTGCACTTCCACGGCAATCTATGCACGTAGGTTTTGCCCAGTTAACTTCCTCTTCGAAGTAGCATTCAGGGTGACGATTTTTTTACAACGGAAAATCACATTGCCCAGAGTATGTTAGGCGAAATGTCTGCTGCGGTTTCAGCCACGGGGGGTCTTTTAAGAAAACAGTGTTACGCAAATCCCTTGCTTTTTTGCTCACCCCATTACTTGCAGCGGGTAGACTTACGCGTTAAGGCACTGAGTGTGCAATTCTGACCATTGTTATACAACTACTGCACACCAAATAAAAATATCATTAAAGGATCCAAACGCACGTGCCATATGCTATTATTTATTAGTCTGCTAGTTCTCTAGGATAAAAATGTCAAACAAATTTCACGAAACAGTTTCCTTCCATTTGTAACACATGCCAGTAAAAAGGGCGCCAAGACTTGGAACTACGACTGCCTACTATGATTCTTTCGGATTCAGTATCAGTGTCCGAGGATATGAGCGGCTTTAAATCTGAAGCAGAAATTACCAAAATATCTCCCCGGGTGACTAGGCATTCGCAAAATATGTGCAAACAAGGCCTTCTCAGAAGACATGGCGATTTGAGTTGTTTAATGCATTCGCGGTAATGCTCGATGGTAAGCGTTAATGAATGCCCCCCTGGCCGAAGATGCATCAGGAGGTCAGAGAGGATAACCAGAGAAGCACGTTAACGCGCAAAATTTCAAGAACCAAGTCCGCCTCCTACATACAAGCACCTAGCCCTGTGTTAGTTTTTGGGAGAGATCAGTGTCGGCACCAACTAGGCTCAGGAGAGGATTTTCCTCTTGGTTGTTCAAAAATCACTGTCTTTCCGTGTGACAGGCAGCTCGTAACACTGCCCCCCTTCGAAGTATCGACAGCGCGGTCGCCATCCAGGACTCGATCTGGGCGGCATAACTTGTCACTAACCGGCTCGTTTCTGACCGTAACATTCTTTTTCGCTCAGGATTATTCACTTCTTCTTATGTTAAGTATTTCGTTGGGTTTTTAAATCCATAGCAGTCGAATAATGAGTTTTTGGAGTTGTAACATTCCCATGAGTCGGTAAACGGTCCATATGCAATACTCTGATGTAGAGTATGGGGGTGTGAACAGAGTTTGCGCATTTATAGTACGGCATACAAGCTTGGAGGCCGTGGGCTGTTGGGGATCAAAACTGCCTCGAAAGAGTCCAGAGGAGAGCCGCGAAGATGGTTAGGGGTCAAAGCTCCTTTCCTTATGCAACCCGCGCAGTAAATCTGAAACTCTTTCCTTTGAGTTACAGGCAACTTCGCGGGGATTTCTTGCAAGCCTTCCGCATTATAAAGGGGTTGGATTGCAGTCTGGCCTTCGAGGACTTTCTTAAATTTGCTACCACGACCAAACTCCGAGGTCAACCGTTAAAACTGCGCACTCAGCAGGCACGACTGGATGTGCGGAAGTTCTCCTTCACGGTTCGGGTGGTCAAACCATGGAATGAGCTTCCCGTAGATGTTGCGATGTCACCATCTATACAAAGTTTTAAGAAGAATATGGACATATTTATGTTCCGAAATGACCAAGAGCGATGAGAAGTCGAGCTCACTCCCTGTAAATCGTTCTCATTTTGTCCCACCATTATGGGCGTGTTCGAACTGTTCCAGCCCAGAACATCTATCTGTATACCACACATTTTTACGTTGCAAATAGGGTACTCAAAGGCTTACGCCTATTTCCCTCAATAAACTGAACTGAACTGAAGAGGTCTGCTCAAAATGGAAAATTAGCAGTCACGTAAGATGTGAGACCGGTAGGAGCTGATCATTGGAATCAAAGTGATCAGACGCACCAATTCCATTTGAGAGCTAAATGGGTTCTGCTGGACGCAATGGCGCAATCCGGTTAACATCGGCAGTTGAATTCTGGACACGATTTCACCATCTCAGGTATGTTACATATAGAAACGTCTATTGATGCCTTCCGGGGACCGGTGATTTCCTCATGCGCCTATATGGGAAGTGCATGCCAAGAATGGTTTTTCTCCGTTCAAAGCTTAGTTTGTTTATGCAGCGATTAGTGTGCAGCTAACATGAATAACATTGTTCTCACGAAATAACGAACGATATCTTACGAACCCTACACAAAAAGAGCAGTAGGTAAATAAGACTAATATTCGAAATGTCCAAAGACCCGGTTGTGGAGCACGCCAGCAATGCGAGGGTTAACATGCAGCGATATGCCCGTCAGGTCAAAAAACTAAAGTAAAGTAAAGTAAACGTGACGAGATTGTAAAAGATCAATCAGACTGGCACCTCGGAGGAGTAATTCCATCCAAAACCGGAGGGCAACGCCAAACGACGCCAAAAGACATGCATTAATCTATAAATGAACGTGAAGTCCGCTGCGGGTGATATAAGCAGGAAGTACAGTTGAAGAGGGTTGAGTGCGGGCTGCGGTGGAGGAGGAGGAGGAGGAGGAGGAGGAGGAGGACGAGGTTGTAGCTGATGCTGCGGACATGTAGGGAGAGAGCGTATGCGGGACGGTGGAGTAGAGAGTAGGGAAGTGTGATGAGAAGGGAGTGTTGGAGGTGATGGAACACGAGATGATGGAGGCGGAGAAATATGGGGTAGGGGATCAGCACACTTTTGTTGTTGTGGCAGGTCCGGCGGCTCCTCTGCGACAGCTACCTTGACCTGGTCACTGTTGACCACATTTTCGTTATGGCAGCAAAGGACGTGATAGGTCTCGGTTTTGCGTGTGACAACACGGAACGGTCCTTTGTATGGTGATTCCAGCGGCTTGTGCACGCAACCAAACCGGACGGACACATGAGTAAAGTAGTTCAAGTCTTTTTCGACATAAGGCTCGACCGTTAGAGTTCGGGGCGGAACTGGGGAAGGCGAGCGCATAGATTGTCGCAGACGACTCACAAAATTGGCAGTAGTTATTCGGCACCACGAGAGGTTGGAGTGACCATCTCACCTGGCAGTCGGAGGGTAGTGCCGCAAATCAATTCGGCTGCCTCTTGCCGAGGACTGTCTGGCCACTTTCCTGAGTCTTTTGCGGCATGCATGGCAGTCTTTAACTGACGGTGGAAAAGCTCAACCACACCTCTGGCAGCTGGGTGGTGGACTGTCGTCCAAACTGGGCGCCTCGATCAGTCGTAACCATGGATGCAGCCCCGACTGACGAAGGCCTTCAAGATGCTTTCAGCCCGCTTGTCGTCAAATGGATGGCTTCGGCCCAGCGGATGTACCAGCCAATGCAGGTATGAAGATGAGTTTAGCCATTGGAGAGAGGCAAGGGGTTTACGACATACAGGTGCACATGGCTGAACCGTGCGTCGGGGCTGGGTATGGTGCCTGGTGGCGACATGTTTTGGTGTTACACCTTCTTCCGTTAACAGCAAAAACACAACCGTGTCCACGCTTTGACACCCTTGTTCAGGCCAGGCTAGGCGAAGCTCACCGCGAGGAGTTTTTGCAAGGGTCGAATTCCAGGGCTAGAATATCCATGACGAATTTAATAAACAGTTCGACACATCCAGATGAAGAGGATGGGGCGATGAAAAGGACGTCTGCTAACTGAAGACCGTTAACAGACTCGTCGCCAGGGCAAATAACATGCTGCTGCCCAGTCGTCACGGCACCTAGTTCAATCCCATGCAAGAGAGGACAACTCGAGTGGGAAGGTCCGGACAGCATGTCAGCCACCTCATTCTTTGTGCCATCAGTGTGGCGAATGTCGGTGATGAATTAGAAAATGTAATGCAAACGAGGGTTCTTTCTGGGGTTGCACTTGCCAAAATGTGATGGTGTGGCAAATGTAAGTGGTTTATGGCCTGCAAAAATGGCAAAGTCAGGACGTTCAAGGAGGTATCGGAAATGCTTCGATGCGAGTGGTTGGAAGTTCATGTCCAAAGGTAGTATATCTCGTCTCATCAGGGGACAGCTTCTTAGGGACGAAAGGCACATGGAACCAATTAGATATTGTTGGAGGACAATTCCTATGGCAGCGGCTGAAGCGTCAATCATGATGGCTTGGGAAGCGGGATGTGTGAGCAAGCAAGGCATTGATTCTCACGAAAGCAGTCAGTGCATCACTAGTATGCTAAAGTGGGCCCTTCAGACCTAAAAGCATGTTAGTGAGTGGCATCGTAAGGTCATTGCAGTTCGACAGGAACCGGCGTAACAGTTGATCATGTCGATGAAACGTTGCAACTGACACTTGGAGGTTAGCGGAGAAAAACCACGAATGGTCTCGATGTTGGAGGGAGTGGGACGCGAACCTTTTGAGTCAAAATTATGGTCAAAAAATTCAAGAGAAGGCAAAACCAGAACACACTTGGAAGAGCTAATGAAGGAGCAATACTTATCAAGTCTATCCAACACGAAGGCAATGTGCTCTTGGTGTTCTTTGGCATTCTGGCTGGCCACCAAGAAGTCATAGGTCCACACAAACAATGGGCCACGTAGGACATGATCAACGAACCTCTTAAACATTTTGGCTGCATTAAGGAGGCCAAAAGGCATAAAGATGAATTCAAAGAGGCTGGAGGATGTAATGACGACAGTTTTGGGGATATCCTCAGGAACGACAGGGGTCTGATCAAAAGTATTCACCAGGTTAGTCTTCGAGAAAACCGCTTTGTCAAAAGGGCTCCAACTAAATCCTGAAGATGAGGCACAGGGTGCCCATCGGGGATAGTCGCCACAGGATCTCCAGTCACCTGATGTCGCCTTGGGCACCGTGTGCAGGAGGGACGCCCAGAGGTTCTAAGATGGTTGAATAATTCGCTGTTGCAACATGAGTTTAAACTCCATCTTCGCGGCCTGAAAACTGGCCAGGGTCAGTAGTCTAGGTCGAGCGAATGCAGGAGAACTCGAGGTTGATTATGTTGGGGTGTTCAGGAAGCAATCAATACTTGTATCCAGAACAAAATAAGTCCCAGTGAAACCATGAACAAAGGGATGAGTTGTACGGTCGAGGAGATGGGAAGGTCAGCAGTCAACAAGAAGATTGAACTCGGCTAAAAAGTACGAGGTGAGGATTGCATGAGGGACATCGGAATTCCCAAATATCCGGGAGGAAGACCAACGAGGGCCAGTGTTTAGGGTGAGAGACAGCCTATCAAACTGGGAATGGGGGAGGGGGAAAGTTGGCAGCTTGCAAGCAAAGACCAGGGCTGGTAAAACGACGGCCGGATGTGATTGGAGGGACAACGCTGATTTGGGCTCCAGTGTCCAATAGGATACACCCGCGTATCACGCCGTCGCAAACACAGAAGGTGCGACCAGAGCCGGAAGAGCCAGAGAAAATGGTCGCTTTAATTATCTGGCTGACCCGATTTCCTGCTTGGACTTGAACGAACGGAGGGGGAGGGTCGACGAGCCTTTGTGACAAAATTGGTGTGATATCAGCAAAGATCGGTGGCTCGAGGTCGTGAGCGAGAACGACGGTGGCTGGGTGAACGACTGGAGGCAAGGCGTGCAAGCGGTATTTTCAAGGAGGCCATCTCATCTGCCATGGCCGGCATATGCCCCACCAACTGCTCATTCACCGTCGATAACAAAGATGAGGAGATCAGGACAAGAGAAGGCGGCTGGAACTGTTGTGCCTCTATCATCCGGTCCGCCATTTCAGCCAGCTGTGAGACCGTGAAATCTTGAGAACTGGACATTAAAGTATTCGAACAGCCGCAGGTAGATGCTCAAAAAACATCTTTATGAGTTTCTCGTCAGTCTGCATGTCTCCATGGACAGAACGCACACATTGGATAAGTTCTAAGGGTTTCCGGTCATCCAGTAATTCCTCCTTGATTAACTGGGGGTACGCTCTCGGTCAGATGCAGCATTAGGTCGAAGAATTGCCGACTTGGGCGTATAATAAAGAGCAACTTCAGGGGGATTAGATAGCGAGAATTGGACCTAGAAGACAAAAATAGCGGGGTAGAACCTCCACACTTTTGTGGTGTTTTTCCAGATCTATCTTAGCCTTAACAGAATAAAAGGCTGATTAAATGCGGACAGAAAAGCTCAAGAGCATTCTGTCAGAATTCAGGCAAGGTGAAATTAACGGCGTGAAGATACTAGGCGGGGTATCATTTTGTTGGATGGAGAAAGACATAATGAGTAACATATAGACGGAACAATATCGGGAAAAATAAGGAGAAATGCAAGCGTGGATGGAATAAAAATTCACAAGAATGTGGGATGTTAAATGGTAGTCAGTATAATAGAAGAATTGAATGAGGTCTGTGTTAACGTCAGAAGTTACCATTAATGAGAATAATATTGTTCTAACAAGCTAACGAATAAAAAATTACGAACCCTACGCAGGAATAGCAGTAAGGAATATCAGTAGGTAAAAAAGGCACTATTAAAAATGCCCGAAATTATTGTTGAGCACACAGGTGATGCAAGTGTTGTCGTGCAGCCTTGTGTCCGTCACGCTAAAGTAAGCAGTACAGTAAATTAAACGTGACGAGATTGTCAAAGGGCATTTAGCCAGTTACGTCGGCACACAGCACACAGTTAGCAATAAATGTCCCTCTTATTTCTCTTCTTCGTCTTTTTTCTTCTTAAAATTTGTCATTTAATCAAGGTTCAAACCAGAATGAAGGCGCAGACTGCTTGTTTATGCACGTAAAAATCACAAATGTCCATAACCGGTACAATTTATGAAGTGCTCGTAATAGCCGATGTATTTTACATTCAGTGGTCAAAAACAGCACATTCTGTAAGTGCGGTGAATAAACTTTTTTAACACAGGACAGACAGGCGTTTCTGCGAAAGATCAAAAATGTTTTCGTCTGGGAACTGCATAACTTTTTTATCTGCTTTTGCATTCACGTGATTGTCCTGCCCGGAGATGAAAATAATGAAGTGGGTTCAAAACTCCAGACAGAATACATCAGACGAAGAAAAACAGTCTACGATTTTGATGAGTGCCGTTAAATAACTTAATCTGAATATTTACTCATAATTCGCTAAATGCGTAAAATCTGCTAGACGAACAGTAGTTAAAGTAGATGCATTAATTAATGCCGAAGCTCTCATTACACTCGACGTTTAACTCCCACGCAAAAAGTGAAATGCTATGACTTTCTGAGGTTGCGATCAGCCCCCCGCCATATTTGCATCGTACACATTGCTTACCATTCGAAATGCCTTTCTGAATTGATATGAGTTCTTCCATTCTATTAGAACTTTTTATGCGTAATATACATAGTGAATGTTTGACAGGTCGAAATGGCCTATGTATTAAGGAAACCTAAACCTTGCTTGTCATCAACAGCACGTCGAACACGCATGGGCTCTAAAGACATTTGTATCCACTTAATGGCACAAAGATTCTATAGAAAAAATAATTAAACCAACATCTTTTTATCCTCAGTGATCACCCTCGTATTCTAAAGCTTGCTATGTACAACTACAGATTTTAGTATGACTGGTTTACGATGGCTTATAAACCAAAAAAATTCCCATCTCATTCTCCCCTGCCATTTTCTGCAATTGTAAGTTTAGATTATCTAACACTCCGGATGCATGTGAAGCTCTGATGTGCAGGGTTACTGCCCACCATCTTATCCCAGCCAGTGCATTCAACCACCTGCCCCCGGAAAAAATGCTAGGCGGTTAACTTTGCAGAGGGAGCCGGACGTCCTCACATATGCACTGGGAGCGTAATCTGGACAAAACATCTGCAAAATGTTTGCTGTGTGCGGACCATCCAAGCTCGTCAACGAAAACATGGAGTACAGACTGGCGTAGTTTTTCGACTAAAATAATTAAGATCTGTCAGAAAGCTACTAGATCCTTGCAGTGATTCAAATTGCAAAATGTTTATAATTTCTAAAGTCAAAACAGTTCTTTGAGACGAGTTTCCAGTTACTAACCGTCCAGCCATG